ATGGTGCTGGAGCTCAAGGGCCCAGCACTGCAACTGGCTCATCAGCCTGCCACGGGCTCTGCGGCTGCCTTACAGTGAAGGGCGCAGAGAGCCACGGTGCAGTCACCCTCTGGGAAAGGGGCACAGCAATGCCCAGGTGACGTCCAGACACCTCCCCCAGCATGACTTGCCATGCACCAAGGCTGGTACCTGCAAACACCTGTGAGGCCCATCTGTGATGGGGTCACCAAGACCCAGCACAGGGATATATATCCCTTGTAGCATGGGGGACATGTGCAGGGAGAAGCTTCCCCTGCCCTGCTCACTGGCAGAAACACCCCCAGGCACCAGTCAGGTGCTACGCACCACGTTGGGCTCAGCCTCGCCTGTGTGGGATCAGTGACCCCCCTCGCCTCTTGGATGGTCCTGATCAGCAGAGGGGACAAACGACTTTGATCCCGTGCCTCCCTGTTCCTCTCCCGGGGGCACATTGGGTGGTCAGAGTCTCCCCAGGCACCTGCAGCCCCCGCAGCTCCAGCCTCCTCGCTGCAGCTGGGCTCCCTCCGCAGCCAGCTTCCAGCTCTTCCCAGGCTGCCGCCAGGCACGGCACGGCCCCCCAGGGTCGAGGGCTGAGTTGGGGCAGGTCTGAAGGAAGAGCAAGCTGCCTAGATGGGAGTCACCACTGGAGCAGGAGCAGGAGCAGGAGCAGGCCTGGGCTGCGGCTACAGTCGCTGGTACCGGTGGATGTAGCCCCCGTGTCACGAGCCCCCTCCGTGGACCTCCTCCAGGGCTCAGCAGCCCAGAGCCCGTGGGTGAGGGTCCCCGCTGCGGCCAGAGGCCGGGGGCTGGCTTTCCTTCTAAGTCATCGACCAGGCACCCAGCGCAACGCGAGGCCTTTCCTCCGCTGGGGGACGACGCAGGAAGGTTGCTGCATTAACATCCTCCGCATGACTCCCTGGGCCGGCTTCACCGGCGCTCCCGTCCAGCTGGAGCCCGGACAGCGTCTGCAGCCAAGAGCCTCCTCCAGGCTGCCGTGGCCAGTAGGGCAGCACCGTGTCCGAGCTGCTCGCTGCGGCCAGGCGTGGGCTGGTGAGGACTCCCGCGGGGGTGGCCGTCACATCACCGGGCTCCTTCTGGACACAGCAGAGCGCTCAGGAGCCTCGGGGCGCTGCCGGCCTTGGCCTGGTGCTTCGGTGGCCTGGGCCAGGCCTGGGAGCCACCAATGTACCTGCTGCTCACCCTCCGCTGCCCAAAGCTAGCCCCCCTCTGCCCCCCAGGCAGTCGGGTCTGCTCTGGAGCGCTGGCCCTGGGGGGCAGGGGCCACGTCCGCAGCCTGCAGGGGAGAAGGAGGGGACGGAGGCACCGAGGAGTGGGTCTGGGGCAGGTGTTCAATCGGATGTGGGAGTTACGTGTGGTCTGTGGCGTGCGCGCTCTACTGCTGTGCTCAGAGGCGCTGCTCCTCCGCAGGGAGGCTCGCTGGGGTGGCCCAGAGCGAGGTCGGAGCAGAGCAGAAGGTCCGGTTGTTGGAGGCAGAAAGCCAGGTTTCAAGTGCATCTCACGCCCTCGTCCCGGGGTCTCGGAGCATCTCGCCAACGTTCATCCAGACGCGCTTCACATCCGCATGGGCATCCCCAGGGGAACGGGGCCACAGGGAGGGACCTGCCCCATGCATCAAGCCCAGTGGCAGGCAGGGTAAGAAGAGACATCATTAGCCTCTGCACTACAGCCCTCTCGGGCCTGGCACCCAGCCCAGCTGTCCCGACTCCAGGCAACCCCCCACTCCCCGGTCCTTAGAGCAGAGGATGTTCGGTAACGTCTCGTGGAGCAGGGAATCGGCAGAATCGCTCACGGCCTTTGTGCAACCGAGCCAGTGGCACCTTTGTCCTGCGAGCTGCAGCCCTGGTGGGAGCAGTGGCCAGCTGAATAGTGAGGGAGGGACAGAACACTGATTTCATTCATGGCCCCAGCGGGGCTCAGATGATGCACGGGACGCGTCCTCCCCCAGCAAGCTGCTTTACAAGCCCCAGGAACAGAACGAGCCATTCAGGGAAGTGACCGGGCTGCTGCCCTTGGCAGACCTGTGACTCCGGGGCTGCACGGCAAGCAGGGCTTGACATTTATCCTTCCCAGGCTGGATCCAGTGACAACACAGGGGTTTGTTGTGAGCTGGATCTGTCTGGGAGGAAAATGATATGCCGGCCATGTGCATTCCTATACCACTGCTTTCCCTGCTGCATGTGTTCAGTGCCACCAGCGGCCCGTGGTGGGTGAGAGTCACTCACATGTGTACCAGAGCTGTCAGCTGCTTTCTCCCTTCATTTCCTACCTCGTGCGGCTGCCTAGAAGAGTGCTGCGTACTGCGAGAGTTATTACACGGGGGGCCGGTGCAAAACCTTCCAGCCTGGAGGGAGACACATTGTGCCCCCACTTTCCAGTCCCAGTTCTGGGTGGAAAAGGCAGGGTCTGGCTGGAGGTGCTGAGTTTCCAGACCCCGCTGCCTTTCCCTGGAGGCTCAGCTCAGGGGGCAGCTGAGATCAGAAGATGCAGGGAGGCCTCAGGGTGACTTCAGCTTCTTAAAATCGCCCTGCTGCCCCTCACCTAACAGATGCCCACAGCCAGCACTGCAGGGAAGGTGGCACGGGCCTGGACACCCATTACAGGGGGCGAGGCTGGCAGCAAAGCAGAGGCAAGGGCCTTCCAGGGTGCCTTGCAATTGTGGGAAAGGAAAGAGCTCCTGTGTGGCTCCTATCTGAGGGGAGGCTGTGGGTCAGGTCCAGCCAGGGCCCTCTGGACATATGGACACTGCTGTGCTTCTAGCAAGTGCCGTGGGCAGGGGAGTGTTTAACCCTCCGCATTTACACAGCAGCTGGCAAAGCCGAACAGAGCGGAGGCAACGAGAGCAGCCCCAGGAGCACCAGGCACGAGGTCTGCCGGAGCTCCCAGGCCACGCTAACCAGGACCCGCTGCTCCGGACGGCACCCTCGGGGACAAGACTGCATTTCTACGGCACTCTTGAAAGCACTCCGCAAACAGAAGGCAAGGGTTTCTTACGGTCATCTCTCCTATTGGACCAACTCTGCAGCTGGGATGAAGTTAGACGAGCTTTTGATGCAAAACTGTCATTCTCAGGTCTGAGGAAGCAAAGTTCAGGAAACAGACAGGAGCCAATTCAGCCTCACGCCCCAGCATTGGTAGTGCCCCACACTGCTCTCCCCCGACACGACAGCCCACGGGCAGTGCCTCTCCCCACTCCACACAGAAGCGAAACACCGTGGGGTCCTGCCCCTGCATCCGTTTGGGGAGCTGTGGTAACAGGTACTGGTATCCGAGTCGGAGGGGCTCTGGGTCAGGTGTACTGGGACAGCCACACGCAGCCCTCATCCAAACGTGGGGTCCTGCTCAGGGCGACATCAATCTCAGTGTGGTCTCAGAGGTCTGAGCAGTGTGACTGGGAACATCACCTTCCAAGCAGGGGGCCCGGCCTGCTACGAGCCCAGCGCTCCCCGACGGGGGATCCAGAAGAGCATTGCTGAAGCAAGCCCGTGGGAACTGGGGCTGTTTCTTTACCAGCGCGAACCCGCTGGGCAGGGCAGAGCACTGACGGAGGCAGGTGCGGCTCTGACTCACCCCATCCGCCCCTGCAGAGAGAAGAAAGCCTGCCTTTCCCCGCACCATTCCCGAGATGCATGGCCGCGGCCCCCCTAGGGTGACCGCCGCAAGCGGCTTGTGGTTGGGGCCGGGTCTGCCTGCATCTGGTTCAGATTCCTGTCCCACTCATCCTGAAAATGCCTGATTTACTGGAGAAGTGTTTCCCCCAGGAAATCTGCTTCAGGCTGTGGGATGTCTTCAGTTACAAGGGAAAAACAAACAGCTGCATCCTTGGAAACCCTGATCTTTTGGAAACGCCGGCACCAGGTCCTGGGCCCTGAGTGACTAGCCCGCGGCCACAACGCAGGGACCCACCGAGTGTCTGTGCTTCAGGCCCCACTGCCCCGTGGGGAAAGGCTGCTGGCAGCTGCCCATGTCATCTCTCTGCAGGCATCGATTAATTAGCAGGGTCACTTACAAGCCGGGGCCAGTGCTGGAAGGGTGCACACCTCACGGGGAGGGGAGAACAGGTCAGATGCTCTAGTTTAGGAACAAGAGAGCCAGGAGCTGGAAAGGAGGAAAGAGCAAAAGGGGGACAAGGATCCAGCAGTTTCCAGAAGCAAGAGTTGCTAGGTGGGAAGCAGTGAGCTATATCCCATGGGGGGGATTGTGAGCACTGGGCCACCATGATGAAATGCCCATCCTGTCACTGCTGAAAGCATGGAGCCTTTAAGCCCCAAGCATCGCTGGCGCATGGTTGCTCACAGCTCCTGTGCTATGCCGGGCAGTCCCGATACACTCATGCCTTTAGTGCGTGGAGGACAGGTGCTCTTCCTGCACAGCGAGGGGTCTGGACGCCTGCTGCCTTGCTGTGGGTTTCCTGCCTGACCCTGGGGAGGCCCATTTCCTTTCTGTGTCTCCCGTCAGCAAGACGGGAGGTGGAGCTGCCTGGGGGTGGAGGTGGAGCTGTCTGGGAGGATTATAATGAATTCAGAGGTATTTGCAGGTCCCGGTGGAGACCCCCTAGCGCAGGTGGTATTGGACATGCTTGGCTTGGACTTTCGTGGCCAAACTCCTGGCTCCAGCATGGTGCGGGAGTGTCTTGACCTCCATCCCTGCACAAGGTGTCTCTGACCTGGGACCCGGAGCCACCCACTTCCCGGTGCCTGCCTGCGCTTCCAGCTGGCACGTGCAGCCGCGAGCAGCACTGTGACCTGTCCCACATCTCCCGCCTGAGACCAGGTAGGGACCCACCACTGCAGCCAGGACAGGCCCCCGGGGCCACACGATGCTCAGGCCTCTCATGCCCCCTCGTGCATCCTCCTTGAAACTGCAGCTCCTTGCACTGCCCCGGGCCAGCCCCATCGGGGCGATGGTTTTGCTGCCTGGATACGTGTTGTCCATCATCCTGGTGAAGCGGGTGCATTGCCAGGAGTTCACCCCTGTGCTGCTGTGAAAGTGCACGAGCTTCGCGTGTGCAAATGGATGGGCTCCATTGCCTGAGCATTTACACTGACCTGAGGCTGAAAACACCAGCACGTTAGCACTGCTCTAAGAGGGAAGATGCGCTCCTCTGCTTTACAGCCTGAAGCCATGAAGTGACCCTGCAGCAACCAGCCGGTGTGGGTGGAACGAACCTCCGAAGGTGCTTCTCTCAAGGGGTGCGGGGAAGGGCAGGCATGCTGTGGTTGCTAATCCACCCAGCGGCCTGCAGAAGAATGCAAACTCGCTCCTGTGTCACCAAGGAGACAGCCGGGCGTCTCTGTACACAGTGTCCGTCCTGAACACCAGACGACCTAAACCAGCTCTTGACCTCCTGGAAGAGGCTGCTGCATGAGCTGAGACCCTGCTGCCACCCCACCCCGCGGCAGGCTGGGCGGTCTGGGGAGAAGGAGCAGGTTCGCTGGCCAAGCAGCAGACAGCTATTCCTCCCTGCCGTGCCCGAAGCCAGGCAGAGATGTGGAGGAGCCTCTCCGAGCGCTTTGCTGTGCTGGATGTGACGTACTTCGTGAGGCACAAAGGCGAGGTAAGGCCTGGCTGGTGGCAGCGCTCGTGGGCCTGAGCTGCTCTGGAAAACGGATGCAGTGCTGAAAGAGTTAGAGCAAAGATTTCCAGAGCCTTCCCCCATCCGTGGGCAATGCTGGATGCTCTCTAGGAGCTCCAAGACACGCACTGACAGGACCGGCTGCCTTGGTTGTTCCTGTCAAGCGGCCATGGGTGCTCAGACTAGGGCTCTGGGATGCTGGCTGGGAGCAGTGGTCTCAGCCAGAGCAGAGGGGCCGCGGACCACACAGGAGGGTCCCTGGGGCATTTGCCGTGGCTGCAGATGGCACTTCAGCTATCCCCAGCTGGGAGTGAATCGCTGTTGGCCTTGGTGTGCTCACATGAGTCACCATGAGATGAGGGTAGGGGATCTTCAGGCTCAAGGTCCCCTAGGCGGGGGGGGGACTAAAAAAAGGGGATTGAAGGGGAAGGTTTGTGATGCTCGGCATGCCTGGTAACTCCCCATGTCTCACCAAGCCTGGAAGGATGGTTTTGGTTCAGTTGCCCCCAAACTCAGGGTCAGACGTGCCAGGGGGAGCCCCAGGCCACCACAAGGCCATCTCAAACCAGGTGAAAGTGGCAAACGGTCCTGGCCTGGTCCTGGATATGCTTGTGGTGGTTTCCAGAGCTGACCCGAGTGAGCCCGTGTTCCCTCTGTCCACGTACTGTCCCGGAGGAGTCTGCTCAGGTGGTTGCAACCCCATTACCTCACAGCCACAAACAGTGGGTGGCCTGTTCCTGTCCTTGCTCCATTTCCTCCGACTCAGACCCGCTGGAGCCCACTTGCCCTGGGGCAGCCGTGCACAGCACCTAGGGTCCTTCTTGTCCCTTCCCAAGCCAGCTTCCCCCTTCGGTGGGCCACTCCAAGGAGCCCGCTGCTTGCTCTGTCTCCCCAGGTCAATGCCTGTGCTTTCTCTGCCGACTGCCAGCACCTCCTGACTGCCTCGGACGACAGCAGGCTCTTCCTCTGGAATGCTAAAACCGGAGAGCTGCTCTGCAAAGTCACCGGCCACGCAGGTACTGAGCACGCGCATACACAGCCTGGAGACAGGGGGTAGCACCAGGGAGCCAGGGATCTGCAGTGCTCAGGCTGCCTCTGGCCCTGACTCGCTGCCAGGTCCCAGCCCACGCAAAGACTGCAGGTGCATGATGGCAGGGACAGTCCCTGCGCCTCCCTGCACAGACCCCACTCACAGGGAGACAGCAAGGATTAATGTTATCTCTGTGCTGTGAAGGCGCCAAGTACCTCCAGGTGGTTTCTAGTGTGTAAAAGACCCATTGTGTCCATTGAGCAAATACCCACTTTACACGCCAGCTACGTTAGGATGCCCAGCACTGGGGTGGTGTCAGTTTGCATGAGGGTCCGTGGACCAGCAGTAACCTAGCCCATATATGTGCTACCCAAACCATCCATCCAACGAAGAAAGAAAGGGCTTTCCAGCTGGGCCTTCTCTTTGTGTTCTGCTCTCCGCTTTTGCCTTGCTTTGCTCTTCCCTGTTACCCTGTGGTATCTGGACTGCCAGCAGCAGCCTGACCTGCCAGGGATGGAGATGACCTTCAGAATGAGAGGCATGGACTAGCCCAGTGGGGCTCCTCCACAGGCGGCGAGGATTTGCAAGGAGCTGCAGAGTTGCACCTTGCCTGAATGAAATGGGGTGGTTTGCAGCCACAGTCCCCTTCAATGCCAAATGGAGCCTACAGCAAGTCCAGGTCTAAGAGGCGACTGCTCATCCTTGCCACCTCCATGTGCTGGACTTGTCATCCCCAATGCCTTGCCTTGCAAAGAGGTCCAGTCTGCAAAGCAGCTGTGTGGACCACCTGGACCCAAACACGACCCCATGGATCTCACCCCCCTCCTCCCTCCTCACAGGGCCAGTGAAAGACTGCAGGTTCTCTCCAGACTGCGCCCTCTTTGCCAGTGCCTCTCACGACTGCACGGTTCGAGTGTGGGACACGGCAACCGCTGAGTGCGTCCACGTGCTGGAAGGTGAGTGAATAAGAGATCTGGGGCTGCCAGTGTCAGGAGGGAGCTAGAGTGCCCACAGAGGCTGCAGCAAAGGGCAGGGTGCTGGGCTGATAGGGGAGTGAACCCCACACTGCTCAGAACCTCAGTGGCCTCTGGGAGAACGGCAGCAGTGCATGCAAGGCAGGATTGGGCCCTCTGCAGCCAAACTGGGTTCCCAAGGACAACTCTGTTCTCCAGACCAGTCATGGAGCCAGACAAACACGAGCCCAGCCAGGGGCAGCTCAGCTGAGTCCAGAGGCAGGGGGCAGCTGCAGCAGACAGGTAGGGGAATAGTCCCAGCCATCGGTGCAGGCATGGACAGGACAGAGGGGCCTGGAAAGCAAAGCCAAAAGGCCGCGGTACCAGAAGGAAAAGTCCAAGCTGTTCCAGAAGCCGAGAGGCTTCAGCTTCCCCCTGGTGCTAATGTGGTTAATTACCATGACGTGAGCTCCTACAGAGCTGTCAGCAAGCCCAGCTGCCACCCTGTGCTCAGAGCTCCTTTGCTCCATTCACGTGACAGCATCTGGCTTGTTACACGGCCCACACAGTTCCCCCCTTGGTGTTCTCCAGGTCACTGCAAGAGCGTGGAGACCGTGCGCTTCAGCCCCGATGCCCGGCAGCTCCTGTCAGGAGGCTGGGACCACATGGCCATCCTGTGGGACACGCAGGTAGAGCGGGCTCCAGTGTGGCTCCTGTGCCCTGCCTGCTTCATGCTTGGAGGCCACGGAAAAGGCCTCCTTCAACATCGATTTCTCCTACCTGTGCCCACAGAAGGAAACTACCTCCGTTACCCCAATCCCTGATATTCCCCATTGTATAGGACTGGGCTGGACGCGGGAGGGCAGGACCTCGCGGGGAGTGAAGTACCCATCATGTCACTTGCTCAAAGGGCAAACCCTGAGCATCCTCTGCCCTGTTCAGAGGTGTTTCCCAGGCATGTGGACTACCACTCAAAACAGAGTGCAGTGCAGCTCAGCTCCCTGGGACACAGCGGGAGCTCGCAGAGCCAAGCCAGCCCGTGGGAGGCACAGCTCGCCCCCTGACCGATAGCACAGAATGTTTTATAGGCGCCACTTGCCAGCTGCTGCTCCTCTCTCATCTCTGCAGTTAGGTCAGATGTTAAGGCTCTTCTCTGGGCACCGTGATGTCATCGAAAGCTGCGACTTTTCCCTGAACACGCAGTACCTGGTAATTAATTTCAGTTTCCTGTCATCTTCCTCTCCCTACTGACATGAGTGGTATATTAGCGATTCACAGCATGAAAGCTTTCCAGTAGAAGATTCTGCCCACTAGGTGCTTAGCTGCATGTATCATCAACGATCTGACAGCTGTAATTTCAGAGATTTCACTATAAGCCCAGTTTCTGTTCTTGTCTGAGGCTTCTGCTGCATCCAGGTGGCGCATATTTGGCAGGAATTGCTGTTTTTCATTTCTTAACAGGCAACTGGCTCCTGGGACTGTACAGTTAAAGTCTGGAGTTTGTGTACAGATGGAGATAACACTCTGGAAGGACATCGGGGCAACGTTAGCTGTGTTTGCTTCTCCACATCAGGAGCACTGGTAAGAGCCGAGAGCCCTCTCTAGCTTGCTTTGCTGTTCTGAATGACTGCAAACATGAGCACACTGCAGAGAGGATGCTTTTAGAGCACATTCCCCCACCTGTGCAGAGCAGATAAAATCCAGTTAGAGCCTGCCTGCTCATCTCTGGGTTTATCACCTCTTATGCCACATCTCCAGCACCCCTTATTCTGCTCTTTGTCTTTCAGGCATCAGGCTCGTGGGACAAGACCGTGCGGGTCTGGAATCCATGCAGCGGGGTGCTCATTTTCCTCCTGGAGGGGCATTCATCCTGGGTGAAGAGCGTGTCCTTCTCCAGGGACGGACTGCTGCTGGCCACTGCAGGCTATTCAGAAATGGTAACCCCAGCAGAGGGAGCAAGCAGAGCTCTGCTGCAATACTGCCTGTCCTGATTACTAAATATGGGCTCTGAAGACTAAGAGGCCCATCATACAGCACTCCTTAAAGTGTGCACCCTGGCTGCTCAAACCCTGGGCCCCTGCAAGGCTAGATACCTTTGTTACAGAACAGAGCAGGGGCAGACCACTGGCTCCTAGCAAGCTAGCAATGCAGCCCTCAGATGGGTAAAGGTGGGGTATCTTATTGTCCCTCTCACAATGCCATGTCACAGGACTGCTTAGGAACTGGCACGCATTTTGGCACATGCTGAACCAACCCTCTCTCTGGTTAGCATATTTTAGGCTACAAAACCTCCACAAGCAGCGAAACCAGCTTGCACTGAAATTAATTTCTCTACAAATTAGTCATTCTCTCTCTGGGGTGTGGGGGTGTCTCATGAAATCCGGAGTTCCTCTGGCACACAATGTTAAAGCTGCATTACTGCCCACCGCACTACTTCCGCAGCATCTTAAGCCTCTTCAAATACTTTAGAGTTGAAGGAACCTCTCTAGTGGCAGGTGCAGCTCACTGCTCTGAAGGTCAGTTGTTTTTGTAAAGCAAACTATTAATTGGCTCTGCATTTTACAGGTGAAAGTGTGGGACTGCAGAACAGGGAAGTGCATAGAAACTTTAGAGGTAACATTTACTTCTTTAACCCAGTCAACTTTCTACCGACACTTGATGTCACTCAAACAAAAGCTAAACTTCATTTGTTATGACATATAATATCAACCCATCTTGCTGCCCATGTTCAAACTGGACAATGAGAGTTGTCTCCGTAAGCTCCTGATGGTTGAGTTGGAATAAGTAGTTTTCTCTTCCCACCCTGCAGCATCATGCTGCGTACTAGCCAACAACTGCTGCTTTACTGCAAAGGCTACAACTAAAAGTGTTTGTGTGCAGCTTCCGTGCACAAGTAACTCCAGAACTGCATGATCAATAATGCACCCCCAGCCACCAGGAGGTGGTGGGGCAATAAGCCCAGCAATAGAATTTCACAGGCCAAGACATGTTTCTAGCTGCAGAAGGCAATGCTTTAAGCTGTAGACCACAGATCATTACAATGGCCCTCCAGATCCCCTAGAAATAGTGCTTTAAGGAACAGGAACATATCTCTGAAGCTGAACCAAGTCTTTATTGGCAGGTGATGTTGGATCAAGCCTCTAGCTGCATCTTCAGCCCAGATGGTGCTCTTCTAGTCTCAGGAGCTGCCGGCCAAGATGAACAACTGCAGGAGGGGAAAAGGGAAACCTGGAAAACAGTGTGAGGGCTAAACCATCCTGGTTCAATAGGGAAAGGAAATGGTCAAGTGCCGAGTGAGAACTAGAAAGGGATGTTATCAGACGTGTCCAGTTCCTGAGAGCAAATGATCAGCCTGCCCATGGCAGGTTGGTACAAGTCCACCTAACAGTGATGCGCTGCTACCCAAGTGACCACAGCTCTGAACTCCAGGAAAATCCCCTGGTGGCATTATGACATCCCATAGGTCCTTCTTGAGTATCTGGGTCCAATGTCTTCTACATGGGGATACACAGGAGTAGAAGGGCACTGAGTAATAAAAGCACTAAGGCTTACTAAAAGTTGAACACATGCCCAAAACATGGACCACCTGGGACTGACTGCACTGCATATCAAAACAATGCAATGTGAAAGCAACCTGGCAACTGCCTCTTAGCTCCAATTTAACATTTCAAGAGGACCACTAGCTTCTCAGTAGATGAACTAATGCACCCAAAGTGGTAATTCAGTACAAAACACTACCAGTTATTCACCTGGGGAACTACATTTAGGGGTGAAAAGCTGAAGAGTGGCCTTTCACTGTCAGATTGCACCATAAAACTGTAATTGTCTTCCTGTAATTCCTGTAATTGTCTTCACAGTAACCGGATACAAGCCCAATCATTCTTCTCACACAAGGACCTGAAAGCAGCATGCAAAATCCCTCCAGCCAGCACGCAGAGTGAGGGACTGGTAGAGGGGGTGGGCAGTGTATATAATCAGGACAGAAAGGAGCCTGCAGATGGCAGAGAATACCTGATCTCAAAGAGTCTGGTTTTCACATCATACCTACACTTTTCATCTCCCGCCCACCACCACGCCCACCCAGGTGTGCGCGTAATAATCCACAAGTTTTGAAAATAAAAAACGTGATGGAGAAAGGCTGTGGTGAATCCCATGAAAGGTGACGCTCAGACAACTTATGTTACAAGGCCTCAGTACAGAACGCTCAAGTTTCAGATTATCACATCTTCACAGGACTGAAGTTCAAGGTAATGATAAATTTTGTCAAGCCGAAAAAGCAAACTGAACCTTGTATAAAAAAGAAAAAGAATAGCTTGCCGGAGGCTACAAAGACCTCATTAGCATGCATTATTCTCTCAGAGGGAGGCCATCCCTGTAAATTGAAGATTAAGGCTGCAGAAAGCCAGCCAGCCCAGCAACACTTCAAACACCTGCTGAAAGAGTCCTACTGATAGTCCAAGCACTACTGATAATGCTGTAGTCACTACTGATCATCTGTAAATGGGTCTAACTGGGCGCCAGATGGCTTAAAGTGATAAATACAGCATTGTGCAGATAACGAGAATGACAGTGCAGACATTTTTGGTGTCCTAGCAGTGGATCTAGAATCCCTCGTCAGAAAAAAGAACTCAGATGTACAAAAATCACTGCTCAGAATAAACTTCCGGGAAACAATCTTCAATTTCAGTGAAACCCACCATGCACTTTGCAAGGTTTGTCTACTTTCCATGCACAGCGGGTCAGTGTTGTTTGGAATGGAACCAGAAAAAACGCAAAGGTAAGTTTACTGATTCTAGAGGCCCCCCCCCACTAATATGATGATCTGTTTAGTACACAATCTTTATGCTGAAGTTCCAAAAGAGAAATCTGAATGTAAATGCTTTTGTCTCCAAAATAAAGTGTAGCAACTTAAGATATTTGCAAAAACTTATTTGCTTAGAGTATAAGGCTGCACTTTAGAATAGCTTTCCATACTGTCTTTTATAAACTGAGCACTATAATGTAAATACTGACAGCAAATTAATGTTAGCATCTTCAAAGCTGCTTAATATGGCTTCCACGGCTTCTACCTGGAGTTTCCTCCCATGCAATGGTACCATAAACTGACAAGCTCTTAATCTAATAAAATTACACACAAGCATCTATATCCAAGAGTTTCTCAACGGCATGGTGTTTAATATGGACTAATGGATGCCAATATAATTAATGAATGTTTAGCATACAAAGGGTTTATGCCTTAACAGCATATTTCCGGACTGGGTATAGGCGCTCTTTTCTCTGCTGTTTTTTGGTCTTCAAATGTTCTTCATGCTTGTTTAGTCTGCGGCGCATGGCACGAGTCTTCTTGGGCCGCAGGTCAAGAGGCTTGTACTTTTTGCCCTGTTTGAAGAAAGATACAAGTTAGCCTCAGAACTTTTGGAACAGCAGGGATACACGAGGTACAGTATTGGTAATCTCTAGTGTTAGGCTTAAAATGGGCAGGATAACAGAGCTCAACTGCTTATATGCACAAGAGACAACAGAAGGGTAATCTGCCAGCCCTGCAGTTTGACCAAGCTGTATTCTGACATTATTGCATTCATGCCCATTAATTTCTAACCTCTTTGCTAGGAGTCATGATATGCACTTTAATGCATTAGCAAGCAGGTGTGTCCCACCTACCAATCACTATTGCTTTCATAGTGGTCAGGACTGAAATGCAGAAAACTTGACTGTATGAATCCCCAGCCTGCCTGTGCTTCTCAAAATGTTACCTGAGCACCTGCTCCAAATAAGCCCATTCAACAGTGAAGAACAAGCCCCCAAATGATAAAGCACCTCCCAGCCTTAGAGCAGTCTGCTTTAGTGTTCCTATGAACCCTTAAGACAGGAAAATAAAGGCTAGCAAGCAGCACACACTTCAGAATCGAGGATCTACAACTGTACCTGCTGGAAAGCCCACTCAGCCAGGTAAGTGATATGTTATCCAGCAGAAGACTTCTTTAGCAAGAGCAGATTCACACTACCTCTACCAAGTTTAGAGCAGTGCTGGGTGTTAGCCTTGCAATAAACAATACCTTGACAAAGGACCACTATACTTAACGAAAACAACTGTGACAGACTTCGTAGGCAGAGGTTCAGTTCTTCCTACAACCAGCTGGGTTTCACCCAACCAACCTCCATGTTGGAAAACAACAAGAAAGAAGAGGCTCAGCATTGAGTACAAAATGGAACTTGCCTTGTAGAACTTCCTTAGGTTCTCCTTCTGGGTCTGGTTGATGACAGTCAGCACTCGGGCAATGGATTTACGGACAACCCGGCTGCACAGGGTGAAGACACAGAGGTTTCAGGACACAGATCATAAAAGACTAAAAACAGACACATCTGTGGAAGAGCTCAAATGCATACCACACAGCTCTGTCACCCCAGCAGTGCTCCTGACTGTGCTGGAACTGTACCAGCAATTTCACAGTGATCTGCATCTTACTGGGCTGGAACCTCCCCTCTCCCCAGAGGAGCAGCAAACTCCCTCCCCTCTTCTTTCAAATCCATGCTGATAACATCCAACCAAGCTCCTCCTTCTGGCAAAGGGATGTAATAAGCATCTCACACTACAAGACAGAGGGGTTGCAACATGACAGGAGTAGGTTTAAAATGAACACAAGGAAGTTCTCTTTCACCCAGTGTGGAATTAGAGGTGGGACCAGAGGTGATGGAAGCTGAGAGTTTGGCCAGATTCAAGGAACAGTTGGACACATCCTTTAAGGAAAGGGGCATCTGTCACTATGGAGCCTGGGCGTGAAGGGCATGGCCTGAATCCAAACTCCCTTGACTCCTGAGTCTGCGGAAGAGAAGCCTGAAGGGGGACTGAATAGCAGCCTCCAGCTCCCTGCATGGTGGGTACAGAGAGGATGGAGCTGGACTATTCTCAGTGGGGGCAGATGACAGGACAAGGAGCAACAGGCAACTGTACGTATGCACGCACCGCAGCACTGGATGCTTTTAAAAGCACTCAGCACTGCAGCACGTCCATTTGCACAAATGGCGAAATGCACGTCAGCGCTGAGAAGATAGTGGCGGCACGCTTCTGAGTGAACATGCATTGAAGGTGTTTTAGTCTGCTACCATTTTCTGCGCATTTTGCTGCTTATACAAATGCACGTGCTGCAGCACCAGGTGCATCGGCGTGCACGCTCTGCAGACTCAATTAATCAAGTCTGCTCCGACGGGCTGGATTTCGGGATATCGGAGCAGAAAAAGGGACACATATAAATGCCAAATGGGCTCAAGCTGCAGCAAGGGAAGTTGAGGTTGGGCATTAGGAAAAAGCCTCTCATGAGATGCAGGCTTCCCAGAGAGGTGGGGGAGTCTCCATCCTTAGTGTTTAAGCCCCTGCTAGACTGGGATGATGTAAGTGTCTCCATCCTTGGAGGTGCCGAAGACCCAGCTCCACGATGCCTTGGCTGGGATGATGTAGACAGGTCTGGTACTGCTTTGACCATGGGGCTGGACTAGATGCGACCTCCTGAGCTCCCTTCCCACCCTCCTCATGTAGGGTTCAAGGTGCTGAAATAGTGGAGAGCAAAGCGGGGGTAGCACAGACCCCAGCATCCACCCCCCGCCATGACGCCCCACCCCGCGGACGGGGCTCACGATAGCTAACCCCAGGCAGGTGGGCTCCCATCCGCCTCGCCCAGCCCCCCACTCACATCTTGGAGAGCTTGGAGGCGGCGCCGCCGGTCACCTTGGCCACGCGCAACTGGGACAGCTCCACCTTGAGGTCGTCCAGCTGCTTCAGCAGCTCCTCCTTCTTCTTCCCTCGCAGGTCGCGGGCCTTGATCTTGGCCTGCGGTGGGGAGCAGGGTCAGGCTCGGCCCCGCACCCCGCTCAGCACGGGCCTCTCCCTCCCGCCCGGTCTCCCCATCCCAAGAGCTGCGGGCGGCGGGACCACGCTGACCCCTGCCCGCCCCGGGCCCGCGCCGATGGCGGCGGATGGTGGTGGACTGTGGTGCGGGGGTCTACTCACCATGATGGCGTCGGCGGCGGAAAGGACGGAAGTCGCGCGCGACCACTGCGCGCAGGCGCCGCCGGCGGGAGCGACCAATTCGTGCCGAGGAGGGGGGAGCGGGGAGGAGCCAGGGGCGGCACTAAGAGCGCTCCTCCCCCCGCAGGCGGCACAGTGGTAGCGGCCGCAGCTGCAGGTGCGAGGTGGAGGGAGTGGCCGGCCGGACGTGTGACGTTATACTCGTGCGGGCACACTTATGCGGGTGTGCCCAGGCGTCCACATGTGAGCGTGCCCGTGGGGGTCACACATGAGAGGGTGTGCCTAAGAGGGGGGGAGCCCAGCTGGTCACACGTCTCAGGGTATGCACGGGGGTCAAACATGAGGGCGTGCACAGGGGGTCACACGAGTGAAGGCGTGCCCAGAGGGGACACGCATGGAAGGGGGTGTGCCCAGTCACGGGAGGGTGCACACAAGGGCTTGCCCAGGTGGGTGACACGTGTAAGGATGCGCACGAGGGTTCACACACGAGGCCGTGCCCCGGGTCACACACGTGAGGGTGCACACACGAGGGTATGCCCGGGGTGGGGGGGGACACACGTGTGAGGGGTCGCACACGAGCTGTGCCCGGGGTCACGTGCACAGGGCGCTGGGGGCGGGGCAGTTGGTGGGCGCAGCGCCGCTCCTGGCCACACGGTGGCGCCGTCGCCTCCCGCACCACCGCGCCGCTCGTAACCAGGCAGCCGGCGCCGCTCAACCTACACTGCTAGGGCGGCGACGGCAGACTGGCGGGCGCTGAGGCCAATCCGTGCCTGGCGTCACCGCCCCACCGAGCGCCCGACCAATCGAAGCGCCACGGGGGCGGGGTGAGGCCGCCCCCAGCCTGGTGCGAGGCTGCACACCAGCGCTCCCGCAGCCGGAGCGGTCGCAGTGGCAGCGGTAGCTTCGCCCGGGACCTGGCGGAGGCGGCGCGGATGGTGAGAGGAGCCGCCCGGCAGCGCCTGCCCCGCACTGGCCCGGCCTCCAGGTAGGCAGCAGTGGGGGGCGGGGCGGGCACCTGAGGCGCCCCCCTCCCCTCGGCCACCTCTCACCGCCTCTCTCTGTTCGCCCGCAGGACCCCCGGCCTGGCCGAGAAGCCTTCGCGCAAGCGCAAGAGCAGGTGAGGCGATGCCGGCCCCGCCGCCAGGGGGCGCATGCGCGCTGCTCTGCCCCGCCGCTAGGGGGCGCATGCGCGCGGGGCTTCGCTGCCTGGCAGGCGGCTCATGCGGATTGTGAGGACTGCTGGAGGCGGGGTGGGGCCCTAGTGTCAGGGTGGTGGGTCTCCT